GTAAGTTGTGAAGTATTGCCTCACCTGGACAGGTACAAACTCTTCACTGTGTCTTCAAGTCAAATTACTGGTGAAACTGAGCCATCCAGTTATATGGTCTTGTTTGCACAGAAGTCAACCATCATCACAGGTTTCTCCCAGTCAGGACAGGAACGTCAGCACACACATAACTACCTAAATGTAGATGAAAGGATAATAAGTTTAATGCAAAAAAAAAAAAAAACATCTGAAATAAACTGACAAAGATTTATAACTTAAGAATTTGATAATTTATCTCTAATTGCTTAAACAGATTGTTTGGCTCTGGAAATGTGTTTTTACACATACATGTATCCCTACTAGTCGTGTGTTTAATATTCCTTTCGGGTTCTAAACAAATCAGAAAAAAAGTACTAAATCGAAAGGCATTGTCCCACCTGTACAGAGTCTTCACTGTGTCGTCAAGTCATATTAGCGTGATGCCCCAAAAACTGAATTTTAAGGCAACATGGAATGACCATAAAATATGATAAAATCCTGCAATTAAACTATCCAGCTTTGCTAATATATGTACTTATAGAAGAAACAAACTTGTGAAACAATTTGTCTCACCCGTACAAACTCTTCAATTCATTTTGTCGTCAACTTGAAGTCAGCTGGTTTGCTAGCCCTCAGCTGGCCTGGTTTGGACAGGAACATCAGTACTGCTGACCCTAATTATACCTAATTATAAAAGAACAATGGATGCCAGGTATGAGTGAGCAACTAGCTACCAGGTAAAGATTTAACTCAAGGTAAAGCACAATATGCTAGTCATTCATTTATTCAAGTAAAAGATACACTTACAAATAGGATGTGAAAGATGTTTTGTGTGTTATTTCTATAAAGTGTAAGACATAAGAGAATAGTTCTATAGTCAAATTAACAGATCTTCTAAGGCAATGTCTTACTTGTGGATGTTGTTGTCATCTTGCTCTTGTGTCTCTGAATCACCTGATCTGGTCCAATCTTCTCTTGTCAGGTTCAGACAGGAGTCCCCACAACTGCATCCGTCAGCAGCCACCTAATTATTCAGAAATTAGATGTTACGTTTTGTAAATAATAGTAGGCACCTGTTTGTCATCTGATGTCTTCAAATCACCCGGTGTGGTTCAATCTTCTCTTGTCAGGTTTACAAAGAATTCACCGCTACTCTATCAGTCAGTAGACACCTAACTTAAACACAGACATTAGTTACACACTTGCTTTAAATAACATCAAAAGTGGTAGGTAAAATGCAGAATTGGGATTTTTCTTGACGCACGTGTCTAAAATAACACCAAATAGCTGTAAAGAAAATGCGGAATTCAAATTTTTAACACCTAATATTCCTGTTGGGTCTTCAAATCATCAGATCTGGTCTAATCTGTCTTGTCAGTTTAAGACGGTAGTCCTCACTACAGCATCAGTCAGCAGCTATACACTTGCCTCACATAATACCGAGGAAATGTTAAGTAAAATGCAGAATTGGGATTTTCCTCACCTGATTTTACTCTTAGGTCTTCAAATCATCTGGTATGGTCCAATTTGTCTCGCCAGGTTCAGAAAGTAGTCCTCACTACTGTCATCAGTCAGCCGCCACCCGACTACACAGACATTCATTAGATGTTACATTCTTGTCTTCAATACCAAATGCTTGTTGGTCGCCTTGAAGCTTTAAGAACCCCATCTTGTTAACTCGAGTTTTTGTCGCCTTGAAGCTTTGAGAACCCCTTGTTAACTCGAGTTTTTGGCGGGAGCACCAAATATATTTAGCTATGTACACAGCCACATTCCAACATGTGTTTTGAACCACGTGTAGATAACCAAAAAAGGTCGCTCAATACATAATTTCTTTCAACGAAATGCAACCTTATAAAGCTGAACAATTGACAAAACAGACATGCACATTACATTTAGAACCCTAAAAGCACATAGCACATTAGAGAATGTTGAAAGAGTGGCAACGTGATAGACTTTTTCAAAGCCTGTCTAAAATTAACAACAGTCGCTCTCTAATTTAGAACAGGGTAATTTCTTACGGAATATAACTTGACTTGTTCATACTATAGTTGCTAGGGAAGAATGTCAGCCAAACAATTTGCTGACTTACCTGTAACAATAAGCCACGCTACTCTTCCCAACTGTCTTCTCCAAAATTCACTTGGTCAGGAAATCCGCATTTTCTCTTCAAAACATCACCAGAACGGCACAAGTCCACAACGAAAACTCCCAGTCATTCTGCTGCACACTCACTAAAAATAATCTACCGACAAAAACAACAAAAAGTACCCAAAATTAGTAAAAATCAGCCCAGAATTTACCCGTCGTACGAAAGCACCATTTTGAAGGGACCATGTGCCAATTTTCTTTTTTATACAGGTGTGCAAAACGGCCCTGTCTAATTAATGAGAAGCTGCTAATCTAATGACGACGACCAATGACGGCCCGTCTCGGTGCCAGGCACTTAAATGTGGCGAAGAAGGTGGATTAGATGATATAATTATATGTACTAAGTTTTACCTCAGGATAAAAAATGAATGAAAATTCAGCTACCTACCTCTATCTCTTTTGAATATTTTTTAAACATATAGCCCTGCAGTTCCAGAGCAAACCGCTATAGGGCCCAAACTCACATCACGTCTTTTCCAGCACAAGACCTACCTACCATTGAAATTTCGTCAGCCTATCAAGTCTAGATCATCAGGTTTCAAAACCGGAAGTTCAACTGCAGTACCATAACAAACCGCCAGGGGGTCCAAAATCTAATCATTTTGAGGTCTCATCAAGACCTACCCACCTAACAAGTATCAAGACAATCCATCAAGGCCTTCTCAAGCTATCGTGTTCACAGACACACAACGTCACACACTCACACACACACACACACACACACACACACACACACACACACACACGAACGCCTCTGAAAACATAACCTTCTTGGCGAAGGTAAAAATGGCAAAACCATTGTAAACGTCAGACGTTCAGCGTATAATACCCTTCTCTACAGACCTCATAACCAACACTATGCTTTCATAACAAAACTCAGACTACCTAATCCTTTTAAAATGATTCCTTAGGGACTTGTCACACGGTCCAATTCACAAATGTCCCTACGGACAGATTGCAGATATGCGTCTTACTTACTGGTATAACCGCATTCCTGTAACCAAAGGCGTATGTTTCAAAGCGACAACAAGAACAGAAAAAATATTTTGCACAAATCTCACTCTACTGGTGCCATCCCTCAACAAATCCTGCACACAATAAACAAATCTCTGTCCTCGTTATATATTTTCTATCTGGGCAGTCACACTGTGTATTCTGCTATTCAAAGTCTCAACTAGCTAGACTAGTAGATAGTTTTAGGCAGTGAAAAGTGTTAGAAAATAGCTATTGGCGCAGCAAGCTTTTAAGTCTTTCAATAAGACAAAACACCACCGTGTTGTAGTAGAGACGTAGCTGAAGTCACTCCCAATATCTACAAAATGCAGTCACAGACATACATAGAATACCGCACTAGTGATATACGAAGTCGCTTGTTCACTCTTGTGTGGCTCCTGTTAACTGTACATGTGCGGTTGCATTTCAAACGTACTTTTACTGACATTCCCAAACACACCTACACTTAAGCTTAGGCCCCTCCTAAAAGTGGCATGCAAGGTTTCGGAGTTTGTTTATCAGAAGTATAAATAAATTTGCATCTTCAGAACACATTTAGATTTACACCTGTTCTTTCTCTAGGACGTCACACCAGGGCAAAACCTCGACCCCGTAGCTCCTTGGTCGCCTGAGCCCGATTTGTGTGCTCCCATGATCGCCTCCGGGTACCGAGTCCACACAATAGGTCCCACTAGTCGGGTTAATTATCGCACCTGCCAAGCAGGCCTTTTTGTTCGGTGAGGCCATGTTGATCTGATTGCATGGATGACATCCGCGCGGGCATGAATTTTCGTCGTTTTCCCCCTCACAAAAAAATTCGACGATATTGTAAATCAGACAAAATAGCTGAAAAATGAGCAATTATATGCCGTACATTGAAAAAAAATACAATGTATTGGAAAACGATACTTGTGTTGCAGAATTCCAAAATCAGTTCCAAAGGGCAAGAAGTCTGCCCCCCCCCCCAAAAAAAAAATTCACCATACTGTAAATCGGACAAAGTAGCTGCAAAATGAGCAAATACTAGTATATGCCATGTTAATATTAATTTAAAAAAATTGGAAAATGATACTTGTGTCGCAGAATTCTCAAATCCATTCCAAAGGACAAGAAGAAATGATAAGTCTATTATTCACCATGCCAATAAAATATTACTCTGTGTGTTTGGTCATTTGTTATTTCAACCTTCATGACCAGGTAGATTTCATAATGAAGGCACCTTTTTGCCAAACTTTTTTTTACTCTCACGCTCGCATTAGTTTCGGGGCTTCCAGAGGATGTCATCCATAGAATCAAATCAACATGGCCTGATTGGTCTGACCTGTACCTGCAGTGTGCCTGTGCCTTGTATGCATGCTGGGCGTTAATTGTTCGGCACAAATCGCGCCTGGAGCCAACCTCGGGCCGCACCTTTCCTCTGACGTCGTGGGAAGATCTGACACAGTCACCCCGCCTACGTTTCACCTGCTTCCCGGTGACTTCTGCTGAGCCATTCAAATCTTACTTAGAGATGACACATTTCAGATGGACGTGAAAAAATTGAGGTAATTTTCATGACTAATTTTCTGTTACCAAAAAAGGACGTTGTAAAGATCTCGATACTCAGTTCTAGTCCCGTATGCTCATTTGTACTATGAATATAAGCTGTACTAATTAGAATTCTAACTCTTCTTTTCGAACTAAATGTTCACAATGAAATATTAGCAAATAGAAAGAACTTAAGTTGATCGTCTTGAGACTGACAACTTTTAAGACATCAAAAATCACATTGTGCCTGTTGCTATTTGTCTTAGATGATTAAAGAAGAAGAGTTAATCTTTTTTTGCCCTTCGGATACAGGACTCATTCCAACACAAACAGTCGAGAGCAGAAAAGAATGGCGCGGACTTAGTCGGATGAAGAAACTATTTTGACAACAACGTTTAGGCTTGGACCAAGGTCTTAACAGAAGGCGCTTATTATTAAGAAGCTGGCTACAAGAACATACCAGGGATTTCACCGGATAAGCTTTGCGTGGGTTGAGTCACCACAGGAAATACTTGAGTAAGGAACGCACCTGTAACTCACAGAGGGTATTCAGAAAGAGTTGCCAAAAGTTGGTTGGTTATCGTCGGAAATGGTCGTTTAACACTTTCAAGGATGGCAACTGAGCCATAATTTTGTGTTACGCAGTGTTTGGAGGTTGTTCCAAGCCAGAATGACCACGAAGTCGTCAGTTAAAAGTGCTTATTAGGTGGACAATGGCTCTGGTTGTTTACGGGTAAAATTGCGGACGGGTAAACCACAGAATCCGGCTGAACTTTCCACTGAACGGTCACGAACAACTTTGTGTCAGAGAGAACCAAGATGGCGAAGTGCTGTGCGAGTTGTTGGTACGATCGCTGTTGTTGGTTCTTCGGGCTCTTCACGTCTATATTCGGAGGAATCTCGATTTTCTTCGGGGTCGGAGCTCTGATGTACTGGAACAACCCCGACTTGATCGACGAGTTTGCTATCCCGATCTGGGTCGGCGTTTTTGTAAGTATTCTCAACAGTTTTTCTATCAGAACATGTTTCGTAGTTTAGTGTGCATGTTACCAATTTATCATGAGAATTACTTTCAATTAATTTGCAGTTTTCTTCAATAAAAACTGTTGAATAAGACAAGACGTTATGGCATCACATGTATCTACTAGCCTCCGCCAGGCCTTTCTACGGGAACACGGATCGTAGAATTCGGCAAAAAAGAGACTAAAATTGGCCAAGGAAGGAGGGAAAGAAACTACCTCCCCGCGACCGGACTCCCTGGGCCAATTTTACTCCCTTTTTTTGCCAAAATTTCTACGATCCGTATTCCCGTAGAAAGGCCTGATGGAGGCTAACAATGCAGTGCTAATGCCCTATACAGATGTGTAGTCGCGGAACTTAAAAAAAAGTTTAAAACGTTTGGAAGAGTTTTGCGTCTAGTAGACTTTCAAACTATTTACTGAGTGTAGCACTAGTTCCAGCCGGTACAGGCAGCCATGTGGCTCGTTAAAATGGCGATAATTATAGTGTTTCAAACGTCCGGGATATGTGAGTCATCTGGACAATTTTATGCACTAGAGGGTGACCCAAAATAGCTAACAGGTGCCCAAATCCTCCCAAAAAACCTTCATATTAGTGCAAAATGTAAAATCAACCCTGCACTAAACTATATCAACATTTGTTATAACCAGCTATACGCAACGTGTCCGAATTACTAGTGCACTACGATATTGTCTATCTGATATCTCCATGGTTTTGTCATGGTAAATATATAAACACTGCATTATTTTGCCTCTGGCAAGGTACAGCCGTCGAGTGCTTTTCCGGGCTTTAGAAAGACAAGAGATCATACATTTACTCAATGCATTTTTTCTAAATACTCATTTTAAATTTTGTGTACTTCACCGATTTGTGTTTTTCCTTAATTTTAGCTTATAAGTAATTCTTTAGGTTCCTTGAATCGGCGGTGGAAGGCTTATGTGCTTATTGTCGGACTATTCCTGTTTTAGATAGCCCGAGGCCTACCGAGGTCACTCGGGTGGATGACCTCCTTCGAAATAGAACGATTAAAAGATAAGATATACCCTTAGCATATTCTTAACATCAAAAACTGAAACATTAGAAATCCTGTAACATTAGAACGATGCAAAACATTCTGGTCATTTCTTTACAAAGTAAGTGTCATTCAGGAAGGTGGACGGGCCAAAATATGACGCCTTACGAGTGTGTTTAAAATTTGGCTAGCTGTCAGCCATGTTTGCTTAAATCCTTGTAGTTTACACAATGATTGCGCCTCGTGTGGGCTGTTTTAGCGCCAACAATACATGTACGAATATCCAAGATAAATGCACAAATATGTTCAAAAGGGGAAGCGAATTACAAGTTACAAGCAATAAAAAAATTCAATATTTGGTGCTAAATGTTTAATAATGTCACTTTAACATTTTCCTTCATACATATAACGAATCTACATCTTCAGTGTAAAAACCATCCGTAAGAGATGAGTTAAACACAAATATCTGTAATGATGTGATGTTAAAAATAGTGGCATTTTTTTACAAAACCATACCGGATGTACATCCGGGGTTGTAATCACATTCTATTCATCGGCATGAAAAATTCAGTCGTCCGACTGGAAAGTTTGGTTTCTGGGTGACTCCATCGGGCGTAATCACGTCTGGGTGACTTAAAAACTGTTTTGTTACCCAAACATCATCTTAACCCATTCTTAATGAAATAATCAACAGACTCAGTGGCCATGCTAAAAGGAAAAGACCTGCACAACATAAATTTTTAAGTTCCAACTGAACACAGCGTTAGTAATTGTTAGAGTTATGCAAAATGTTACAATAACTTATCATAATGCCGGATGTTTCTTCTACACAACCGTAGAGTGCATGCAAGGAGAAGTTTGAAAGGCATTTATACACTAACTTCTTTCTCAAAATGGTTCTATAAACTAGATTGTTCTCAAAACGGTTTTATGAAAAGAAACAGGTGCACATTGCAATTTGTCCCTATCTCAACAGAGGGAGCAAATTGAAATGACAACCTAGCAACCTAGCAAAACAAATGGTGGCATCTCGAAAATCAATATGAGAATCCGGTTCAATTTATTCACGTTTACTTCTGAAACTATCAGTTTTCTAATTTATTTTACATAAAAATTATTTTACAGCCTTAACTTCAACTGCATGCATCAATACTTGTATACAATTCACAATGTACAGAATTTATATCTTATTAAGAAAACGTATGGTACAGATAAACATACCACAATGTTTGATTCATTCCACAGTTGGTTTGTATTGGAGGCCTCCTTATGGCAAACAACAAGTGTAAAAGATGGGAAGACATCAACAAAGAGGTATATGCATTATTTTTCACGCCTTCGTTTAAATATCCATAAGACAATAACTCAAAATTCCTCAGTAACCATTAAGATAGTTACAAGTTGCTGCGGTGTTTGTACATTTTTCAGATTTCATAAAACTTGATATAGGACATTTCAATCTTAATTAATGGCGTAAGTTATAACGTTGACAATGAAGATAAATTGTCAATGGTACAGATGCTAATTAATGGTGCTTGTAATTTTTGGCTTAATCGTGTTAATGATGATTAAGATCATAATCATACTGATATCATTAGTAAGAACAGATTATAATGGTTGAATGGCAGTGATGGTTGTGATGGCAGCTTCTGAAGGTGATTGTGAAGAGAGTAGTGACAACGTCAATCAAAAGAAATGACCAGTGCGGGCAAGTTTGTAATTGCCATGTTTAAGTCTCTACCAGCCAAACATTATTGTTCTAGGCAAACTTTAGCACAGTGTTACATGTGGTTATCCTTGTATTCCAGTACCTGGAGGAACTTGAAATGAAACTAATGCCAGAAGAGGAGAAGCCTACCACCAAGAGAGCTGAAAGTTTCAGTCGACTGTTTAAATCCATGTCTAAGTTGTCTCTTCGCGGCGATGGAAAGAATAAAGCTCCTCAGCAGTCTGAGAGACAGATCTTTGACAGGCTGGACGTTTTGCGGAAGGAAAAAGAAAGTAGCAGTCGACAAGGATCACCTTCTCCTTCAAAGTCTCGTCGCGACAAAATCAGACAACAGGCAAAATACGAACTGCTGAACGAGCAGGAAGACCAAAAACTACACTTGAGTCCGTCGTGGTACTCTGATCTTAACTGTTTGACGGACGAAGATATGAATAAGAGTCAAGATAAGATGAGAAACAAAAGGCTCAAGGCGACTCCCGATTGTGTTAACGATGAAAGAAACGGAATGGGAAGTGAACAGCTTGGAAGCGAATATCATTCGCCCGATGAGTGTACCAGTGAGAAGCAAGCAATAGATAAAAGACGAGGTTCAAAGGTAAACAGGAGACACCGTGACACATCTGGCAATGTTGATGAGTTTGAGATGCTAGTAATAGAACAGGACACCAAACCAGATCATTCGACTCCCACATCAAGAAGAAGCCGACAAAAAAGAAAACATGGAGCAAACAGCGACCAAGGAGAACGGCTTGGGGATGACGAAATTGTCTTGAAGTCTAGTGGTTTACGCAGGAAAGACATGAGACCAGAGTACAGGCGGTCATTTTCCGAAGGCTGTCGTGATACAGGTAGCATTTCGAACATTGGTGATGAGAGTACGACCGAAAAGAGACTCCAAAATAAAAGACACCTTTCCTTGGATCCTAATGCCAATGCATATCACGCGGCAGGCAACTTTCTTGAGGTACCTCGAGCGAGAGGAAGACGAAAGAAGCGGGCAGGAAGTGATCTTGAGATGAAATTGGAAGAAATGTACCGACAGGATTCCAGAAGTCTTCCAGGAACACCAGAAGGACGACGAAGGGCGTCACGCCAGCAAACTGACATCCCTCTCTACACGAAAAGTCTTCCCGGTACACCAGAAGCAAGAAGGCGCGTCTCAAACGCACTAGACTATCATGATCATGTTGACTCTACTACACTCAACTTCTACCAGAAGTCAAGTAGGTTTGGAGGAGTCAAACAGAAATCCCCGAGTCAAAGATCCGTGAACAGCATGGCCGAATATCAGAAGCGATCCCTTGATAAGTTCATGATTCCTGCGTTTATGGAACAGCAGGATAGTGCCACTGAGCCTGACTATTTTACCACTAAAAGCTTAGACAGAAAGCAGCGGAGATCTCGACATAGGTCACAGCCTTTGCCGATGTCAGCAAAAACGGGAAGTAGCAGGGAACGCTCTATCCCCGACATTGTCATTTCACAGGAAGGAATCGGTAGCCATCTTAACCCCGATCAAAACATGGCTGAGTCGCAGCATTTTGCTTCGCCTAACGCATACAACGAAATGGCCGTACGACCAAAGGGGTCACCTCGTACTGGTTGCATGCCTGTACGTTCTACAAGTCCTAAGAGGTCGCCTAGACAGTCACCTATTCAAGGACGCCGGAGCACTGAGCCAGCACTGAGAGGACTAGAGTCTCTGAAGAGTTACAGAGATTCTTTTGAAGCTGACGGATACAGCAGTGAGGCGTTAGAGGTAGATATCTATGACCACATGGTGAGAGAAAGGATGAGGAAATTCAAGGGAAACATCACAGAGCCCAAGGTCATTTTCCCAACCCGCAAACGCCATCGCACCTGTCCGACTGCGTCGCCTGCAACGCGCCGGCGGTACATGGATGAAATACAGCGGTCGCCTTTCTTTGGCTTACAAGAAGCAGGAGATGATTTGGACAACGTGTATGCCAACAGTTTTGCGCCAAGGAAGCAAAGCCTTCCGCCATATTTGAACTCGGACAGAAGACAACGAAGAACGCCGGGAAAACACAGAAAACCAAGCATTCCATATCTCGAGTCATATTCCTCAGAGTCCGAGGGAGAAGAAGTAACCAGTTTGCTTGGCTCGAGGATCGCGCTGAACTTTCGTGGTGGGAAGAGTTCGAGGACAGTTTCTCCATCAGACTCCTTGGGGAGCCTCGGACGAAACCCTGCTACTCCACCAGAATCCAAGATGGCGGCGCGGAACAAGAAAGCAAAGCATCATGGGAGAAATGTAGACGGGGGACTGAGCATGTCGGAACCCACGCGTAAGAAGAAGGCTTGGTCTCCAAAGTTGGTGTCTGACATGTATGAAACTTCCGGACAAGAAAACAGCGCAACAGAGAGCGAAACCTTCCCACCAACGACATGGGAGACCGAACCGTCACCAGGAAAAAAGAACAACGACTTCTCGAATAATGTATACTCGGATGAGGGCGAAATCAGGCTTCTCTACCACTCAAATAACGAGGATGCTGCCTACGTGAAAAATAATGACGGAAAAGTGGGCAACTCGCGGGCACACGTGCTTCTCAACGACGACAAAGAAGGTGTCATGGTAGTTATGGTGAAGAGGAGAGATACTTAGCTGTAAGGGGAGGGGGGTAGTGAGTTGATACGGGAAAAGGGAAGAAATTAATTTTGCAACATCTAATCGTTGCAATATCATTTCTGTAAAGACATCTATCTATAACGGAAACATGAACTTTTGGATTGGAGACAAACAATGGAGTAACTACCTCATAATCTATACCATTGTATTTATTGGTACCGGTATTGGTATTCATATCTTGTCGACGTGATTTAAGCTTTGTTCAAATTTGTTCAAATACGTTAGGTTGCTTAATTCTGTTAAATACACCACGATAATACCAGTCTCATAATGTTAATTCGCTGTTAGTTTCTTTGAGATTACATTCTGAGGTTGGTCTTTATTGCTTTGCAAGCTAGAATTATTCATTTGTATCGTTATAATTTTTCTTGCTTGGAAATAAAGGTATGGTGACTTATTCAATTAGCTTGTACTTTGTACCGACTGGAAGTGCAGTATTTCTCTGTTACGCCATGAGGCGCTTTAACGCTAATGCCATACATACAGACACTGGGCAATCAATACACGTATGGACGTCCGATGCAATTTCAGGGTGGGAAGACAAGAAAAACTCTGTGTGAGGGAATCTGTCTGACATGGACATTAATTCAGTTGAATTCAGTTGTTTATTGCAAATTCATGCCCGAGGGCTAATTGCATACAGACATTGACAAGAAAAATGTGGTGATATAAGACTATTTGCTAACATGAACTTCTACGTGTACGATATACTTATCGAACCTACTATCTCTACTTAAATCTAATAACGTTGGTATACATACAGGATAAAAAGTAAATATGAAATATGTGAACAGGTAATAGGAACAAGGTAACTGCTATTCTATTCTATTCTATTCTATTCTATTCTATATTCTATTTTATTCTATGAAACTATTCTTGTCATGCTATTAGGGGGTTTGACTTCTTCTCAGGAGGCAGTGGGAGCCATTTCGTCATTATTTTATTCTGGAAAAAATTGAAATAGCCCAGGAGCAAGCTTAAGCCACATGAGGAGTCCCTTGTTATTTTTGGTACCACCAATAAATAGCTAGAACCAGCTCGGAATGGGGTTGATAAATTTTTAAGTTGCTTCATTTAAAAAAATAACCAGAAAGTTGACTTTGAAAATTCAGTTTTACTGCGCTAAAATCACTTTGAGTGCCTTGAACTAACACCTGTGAATTTTGAAGACTTGCTACGACTAAAACGCACGTTGATGAATAGACGCAATTGCATTGTGTGTTCTCTCGAGAAGGTTTCCCCAACCCCGTGAAAAACACTTCTATTTTAAGGACAACCAACCGGCTAAATTGTCGAACAACACGCAGGGCCGTTCAACAGGGTCGTTATACACACTTCACCAGGTGCTTTTAACGAGTGACCTTATGGCGTTCGATCAGGGACAATCCCTCATTCCTAGCGGGTAGCTTCCGGAAAGAGTAATCTTTGCGACTTCAAGAAAATATTTCACCGACGAAAAACATTACGAAAGTAGATAGTCATTTAGGAAAAGGTCGCAGAAGTTCGTGTGTGAAAAAAGGGCAGGATTGCGTGAACAATGACTGGATCGTCACGCAATGAAATCAAGCTCTGATTGCGGATAGCGATTCTCTGAAGAAAGTCAAACTTTCAAGATAAAATCACGTCTGGAATCGTGCAAAGTAGACTCACTGCAGATGTGCGTCTGGTTAACTAATTTCATGGTTGAATGGTGTGTCTTCGTCCTAATTTAAGTACTGGCATACTCAAAAACTCTAGGCCCAACTGCATTTGCTCTGTTTTATATTCACACGCACCTATCTATCTATCTAAATTAAACTGCTCAAAGAAATGCGTGATTTTTAATGATTCCAAATTCGTGGTTTATCGTGTCAACGATATGCTAATTATCACAATTTTCACGTGTTTCTCCGTATCAAGACCATACGACCGTGAATGACCTTAAAAGATCTTACAACGTTTCTGATTGGTGAATTAGTCATGCTCTTTGACCTTAACGAGCGAAATTTGTGTGGCAAATTTAACTGGATAATCTTCTTTGTTCGACACTTCGCCATCATTGATCGAGGACCGAGTAGAACACACTCAAACGTCTCGTTCCAATCAGGCAAATCCTCTAATGTTCAAAAGCACGAGTTTCAAAACGTGAGTCTTTATTCTTTGGGTTGATCGCCAAGTGATTGCGACAAAAATCTGGGCGGATACAGAGACAATGCTGTGCCTTTGTTCAACCATGTGCACTTCGGCATTCAGTTCACTCCATAGAACACCTCTGGATTAATACATTCAAGGTTGGTGCTGCATTTTGTCGTCTGTTCTACGAGTATAGTAGAAGGATCTCTACAAAATACTGTAAGTAGCGTACTGTGAGAGCTAGCCATGGGCCCTCAACTTTTACATTTGACGAAATTAAGCTCAACAGGCTTATATACCACGTAGAAATCAGATACCGTGGCTATAGTATTGTAGCTACGTATTCAAAATGGCTGAAAGGATCAGCAAGCTACCAGCTATAACTGAAAGTAACAAGCACTATAAAGTGGCAATGGAAAGAAGTCATAAGTTTGACGATAGTCAGAGTTCGTGTGAGCAAATAAAACAGTTAGTTGCGTGGGAGGGGGTAGTAAATGTGTGAGTGAAAGACAGCTGGTATCAGGGGAAGCCATATTGCTCAAGTCCCACGTTTCTGAATCTCCACCGGGTCCAGGTCACCTTGACAGAACTCGCCAAAGGCGTGAAGCTAAGCTGGAGGATTTGTGCCGTAATTTACCAGATGCAGAGGCTTAATACTCAGGCTTTACATGTGAAAGTCACCGTACACGACCCAGCAGAAATTTCACTACCTAATCGAGTAGAAGAAGTCTGTGAAGAGATCTTTAGAGTTTGCCAAAGCACTGGAAAACTCACAGATCGTCTAGTTTACAGCTTTGTCTGAAAACATGAGACATTCTAGTTTACTGTAGTGTGGAATGAACTCAGCTGACATAATTGGTAGCTTCGAGTTAGACCATTTGATCATGAGATCCACTTGGTTCTTGTATATAATTTGTCTGCGAACAATTAGGTGCATTTTAAGAACAAGGGTAGCTTGTTATGCTTTAGTCAGCCTGTTTGCAAAGTGTGAAATTTGCCTTCAAACTATCTTTTAACTCCTGATAATGAAGCGATTCAACTGTCGCCTCCATTTGTTTGTAGTTCATTGTCCACAGTGTTCTAACTCCCGATAAAACGATAAGATTGTCGCCGGCGCCTTGTCGTTTCTTTGTTTGGGAGCGCCGGACCTGAACCTTTACAACAAAGAGCGAACAAAGTCAGCAAGGGTACATATTGCGTTCTGATGCTGTCAGTTCATAACATAGAACTAGAAATGAGCAAAAAGACTAAGACTTAAGCTATGGATATGTCGAAGGCCTTGGATTTCTAACCAGAACGGTCGAACTATGGGAGAGGCTCTTACTCTATACAGTGACACTTCGTAATATATTATTCTGCTAGACAAAACTTTCTTTGTAGGGAAACGGCGGATATGACGCTAGATTGTTAACTGGATAATGACTAATGAAACAAGAGGGACCACAAACCATGATTCTCAAATATTCTTCAAAATCATGCACATCCCTTTAAAGAGTTTTCATATGAAGTGAACTTAGTCTGGAACAGCCATAGAATCAAATACGTACACCGTATATTACACACATGTACATAGTGTACCATTATGTAGAACTAGCAAGACGTTACAGTTTTAGGTGGTCGTTTTATGAAATGGCCTTCAACGAGTTTATCTATTAGCCTAGGGATAAAACATATTTGACAAATTGCTTGAAGGTCTCACCTGTCCATAAACAACAGGTGCAAAGTAACGAAGTCATAAATTCTTACAGACTGTGCAGGGATAGTAAAACGTTCAACTTTATTCCTACACAAAGATTGTACTATGATTACAACCAAACACAGATGAACTTACCTCATAATGTGTAAGGGTGTGTGTCTATAGATTAACCAGGACTATTTGTGTATGCATTTGACAGGCCTTCTTACTTGTATATTTGTTTATAAATCCCCCACAGAGTGTAGGACTAGCATGGCGTTATATTTTTGTATGGTAGCTCACCTCACCTCACCGGTCCCATAGCAGTCAAGTTACATGTACCACCGTCGGGGCAACAAGACTGTCAACAAAGCTCTTCCACCCTTGGCGGTCCTCCATTAGACTTGTTAGCTGGCTTAGGAGATGTCTTGTCCATTCCTTGTATGGTAGCTGGTTTCACTAAATGGCCTTCAGTGAGGTTATCTATTAGCCTAGGGAGAAAACATGTTTGACAAATTGCTTCAAGGTCTCACCTGTCCATAAACAACAGGTGCAAAGTAACGAAGTCATAAATTCTTACAGAATGTGCAGGGATAGTAAAATGTTAAACTTTATTCCGACACAAAGATTGTACTATGAGTACAACCAAACACGGATGAACTTACGTCATAATGTGTAAGGAAATGTGTCTATAGATTAACCAGGACTATATGTGTATGCATTTGACAGGCCTTCTTACTTGTATATTATGTTTATAAATCCCCCACAGAGTGTAGGACTAGCATGGCGTTATATTTTTGTATGGTAGCTCACCTCACCTCACCGGTCCCATAGCAGTCAAGTTACATGTACTGCCGTCGGGGCAGCAAGACTGTCAACAAAGCTCTTCCACCCTTGGCGGTCCTCCATTAGACTTGTTAGCTGGCTTAGGAGATGTCCTGTCCATTCCTTGTATGGTAGCTGGTTTCACTAAATGGCCTTCAATGAGTTTATCTATTAGCCTAGGGAAAAACATGTTTGACAAATTGTTTCAAGGTCTCACTTGTCCATAAACAACAGGTGCAAAGTAACGAAGTCATAAATTCCTACAGAATGTGCAGGGATAGTAAAACGTAAAACTTTATTCCGACACAAAGATTGTACTATGATTATAACCGAACACAGATGAACTTACAGCATATAATGTGTAAGGAAATGTGTCTATAGATTAACCAGGACTATATGTGTATGCATTTGACAGGCCTTCTTACTTGTATATATGTTTATAAATCCCCCACAGAGTGTAGAACTAGCATGGCGTTATATTTTTGTATGGTAGCTCACCTCACCTCACCTCACCGGTCCCATAGCAGTCAAGTTACATGTACTGCCGTCGGGGCAACAAGACTGTCAACAAAGCTCTTCCACCCTTGGCGGTCCTCCATTAGACTTGTTAGCTGGCTTAGGAGATGTCTTGTCCATTCCTTGTATGGTACCTGGTTTCACGAAATGGCCTTCAATGAGTTTATCTATTAGCCTAGAGAGAACACATGTAAATTGTCTCAAGGTCTCATCTGTCCATAAACAACAGGTGTACGGTAACGAAGTCATAAATTTTACAGTATGTGAAAGGATAGTACATGTAAAATGTTAAACTTTATTCCAACACAAAGATTGTACTGTGATTACTACCAACACAGATGAACCTACAAAATAATGTGTAAGATTATTTACATATAAACCAAAAGTAATTGTTTATGCATTTGACAGGCCTTCAAACTTGTATCTTTTTAGCCATACTTAATTCGACCCTTTGAAGTCATAACATAAATGTGGCTTCCGAGTCCAAACTAGGTTATATCCAACTGTTAACTTACTATATGTATACATGTACGAAGTATTCCACTTCTCCAGGTCATTGTGACCTGTTTGTAGGTCAAAGTTCCTTTCTCTAGGCAGTCAGTCATGTTAACAGCCAGGGGCAGGCAGGTAACCTGTAATTAAAAGTTGTACAGTGACTACTGACAAGGTTGTCTTGAGGGTTTGACTCTATTGACCTTATGTGTCATTTTCTGACGGCAAGTGGCAAATATGCCATCTATCACACAAGCCCCTGTCAGACATAGCCAAATTTGGCTACCGAACACTGCCGAACTCCCCCCAACCATGGTTAGGAACACATGTAGGACTGGGGCAAGGTCGGCTATGGTCCAAATCTTGTCAGATTGCTCCCGAAGTTTGTTACTTTGACGATAGTCAGTAGTTATGCGATCAACTAAAACATTATCTGGGTGAAAGGGTAATGTTTGAGTCGAAGCTCATAATAGTCGTCGATTTTCTATCCCTTCTGCTTAAGTGTTTCGTTCAGTTGGTTACGACGTTAAACACTGGCGTGACTTACTTTGGCCCTTGAACCAAAATGGCGGCGGTGTTTCCAGAATGTTGTCCAACAACTTTGACGTCACAGGTCTAAATCAAACAATATCCCCCCCCCCCCACACACACACACTCAATTAGCAGGGATTCTTAATATGAATTAAAATGAACCGTTTATGAAAACTTAAGTTGACTGCCTGACTAAAACGTCTTATACTTGGGAGATGGAGGGGTGTATTCTTTCTTGATTAAAATGGCAGTAGTACTATTCGATGAAGGCCACCCTATGCCCCATCCGTATACTATACGTATCCCCCCTTAGGCCATTCATAATCCATGTATAATGGACGTCTTTGTCAGACAGGTTTGCCCAACCCTAGACCCTGTACAGTTCCATGTAAACAGGATGCTGTTTACAATCATCATGCGGGCGAGAGATAAATACTAAGATGTGGTGTAAATGAGATGATTCTTTTGTCTAGACTTGAGTGATATTATGAATTGATACTAAAATGAGTGTCATCGCCCTGGATACAAATGTGGCCCAGTACAGATACTAAAACAATTGTGACATATATAAAAATATGACTAACTTGCAACGATAACTATGGAAACAAAACTAACGCTATTAAAACCAATCAAGAAGCTCTTTTTTCCTCATTTGAAGTTATCGGATTTCATTCAACTGCTTGTGTATTCTTTATTTTCAGGGTTACAAATGGCACCAGGAAAACATAAATTCAACAAATCTTGGATTTAAAAACTTGAATCTCTCTAACCTAGGATCCAAGATGGTGGAAGAATTCAAGAAAGCCTCTGACGTAGGGGTCAAAGACAATGATGATGAAGTCTTCGAATCAGTGAACCCTACAGAGCAGGATTCGCAAATGAAAGGTATAGCTTTAGCTCAAGAGAACGACAATAGAAACATATCAGAAGACGCTGAAACTACTGTCGATATAGACAAAGAAAACGAAAATAACGAAGCTCAGGAAACCCAACCATTGCTCTCACAAAGTCCAGTCATCAGCGATGACATCATCATAGTTCACGAAATCCCCGAGAAAGAAGAAACCAAAACAAAAACACGACGTACTTGCAGGCAATTTTTCTGTGACTGGGACGACAAACGAGCGTATTATTTTGGAAGGAAAGTAGGCTTCATCTTTGTTTACTTCGGAATAGCATTGGCAATAGGAGGCATCGTGTTTGTCTGGATAACTACTGTGTGGAAAACAGAGATACCGTTTGCCATGATGATTTGGATTGGAATCACGGTAAGTCATTTCATTGTACACACAAGCATTGTGCAAAGCCATGTTATGCAAATACAACTCAAGCTTCTAGCTCTATGCCTAGAAGTGGCCAAAAATAATTGGCTTTGCATTGAGCGACACCGTTAAAAAAAAGCAGGCATGGGGTGCCGTTTAAATTGAGAGTTGATTCTTATAATACGAGATGGCATGAAATAAAAAAAAACTGAACATGCAGATTAATAATGAATTAAGGATATGCTATACCTAGCTTACGACGAGTTGCTTGGAAGCTTGGGAATTCATTAATGAAATTACTTAATAACATCCGTTTAATAAACAGAATAGCTGTTGCAAGTAAATTCGTATGGTGTTATGTTGTTTCAGATTTTGACAGTTGGAGCTTTATTTATTGAAAACTCTAACTGGCAGAGGGACATCGACATGGCTAAGAAACTGGTATGTTCCACAGAATTTTTACACATCATATTCTTGAGTAAATAGTTTCAATATTGCTGTTTCCTCATTTAACATTTTAAACAGTCTTCTTTGTTAGAACGATAAAATTGCAACATGTATGATCATGTGTCAACGTATTAATTTTGAGCAGATGAGAAAATGAATTAACGATGATATTTACATTCTAACAGAACATTGTGTATGAACAAAAGAAAAAGGAGGAAAATGCAAAGGAACCAAAGGTCTTCTTCGGAGCAGCTTTCAACGACATCGACATTACGGACGAAACTGGACAGCCTGTTCAACTATCAGAGGAGCAAGTACGAGCGATGGTCAGCGATATAGTAGGGCCGGATTCCATACATTCTATCCACCACATCAGTGGACAATGGAAAATTTACTTTCATACCAAACCGGCTAGAGATGAGTTTATGAACAAAGCATTCGTATACAGGGGCAAAGACGTTCGAAAGTATGTCATTGAGTCGAAAACAGAAGAGGAACTGACTGCTCTAGCTGAGCAGTGTGCATTGGAAGCCAAGAATACAACCTTGTATGGTTACATGTTTGAAGACTCTGATGTAGTTGATGAAGAAGGGAATGCGGTGAAGCTGACTGAGGATGAAGTTTGTGTAAGCATTTTGAGAAGGGACATAGACCCCGACAGACTGTACGCTGTAGAGTACATACGAGGGGTGTGGAAAATCTATGTCTTTGGAGAAGCCTCTGGTGACAAACTAATGAAACAAGGCCTTATCATCAGGGACCAAAGTGTCAGCCTACGTACGATAGACCACAGCAAAATCGCTCAGCCACCACGAGCAAGGCTCAAAAAGTCCAGTGCTTCAAGCGGTGAGAAAGACTTGTCCGGTGTGGCCATTCTGAAGATACTAAACCTCCCTGTTGTCGTAGAAGACCGTCTAGTTATCAAGAATCTACAGAAAGCAGGCTGCAAAGTAAAAGGCGCCATACAGAAGCAGAGAGTCAAGAGACAGTACGAAGTGGCATCGGTGTACTTTCTCAACGGGGTTCGCTATGTACGGGTCCGTATTCCTAACATCAAGCGGTTTCCTCTGAAACAGGTTTGGGACGGATACTTTGTCAAGATGGAAGTGGTCAAAGTTTTTCCCGATAGCGACGTTTCCGAGCAAAACACTCAGCTAGATTCTGCTATGAGTGCACTGCAGATAGATGAAAAACTACCCGATAGCAACAAAACAAGAGTAGTGACAACTGCTATTTGTCATGTGGATAATGAAGCAAATGAAGAAGACATTAAACTACCGACATTTTCAGACGTTGACACTGATCGTGCCGGAGAATCGCACGGAGAAAATGAGATCTCGCGAGAAATGGCGTGGAATTCTTCGTATGATCCTGACAGGGAAATGTATCGTAGCGAGGAATCAGGTGAACTCTCGCGAGACACGACGAGACCTTCTTCGAATGAACTTGATCTTGTAACCGACCGTACTGAGGAAGTATTAGAATCAGATGAACTCTCGCGAGACGGGGCGAGAACTTCCTCGGATGATCTCGAGGGAGCCGTCGGTGGAGATGGGTCAGAAGGTATCAACATTCCGGAAATGGTCAAGAGAGCCAACGGTGACTCCGGAATACAGACTCCGGAATCGGGATCAAGAACTTCTGTTCTGGGGTTACAAATGTCAAACCAGGAAGGGTCAAGGCTGAGTCAAATGCAACAGGAATATCTCGTTTGATATGCTTTTTGGCTGTTGGAATAGGGATGCACACATAAGCACACGTAAAAGACTTCTTATAGTAAGAACCATAACATACACATATACATACAGACAGGTATCTATTAGAGTGTTAGACTTGATAATACTTTAAGTGTATGTTTGTCTAATATAGTCATGCTTTTATCGTGTATAATTTATAGTAGATTATTTGAAATACAACATACCGTTTCAAAAGTTCCATAGTTCAACCTTTCCTAATTGCGTACCATGTACTTTTATCGATAATGTTAGGTGCACACAAAATTTCTGCAACATACATGTACGTCTGTATAGTCGCGCAGAATACCGTGTAAATACACACTAAGGACCTCATTATATTCGTATGATTTGCTAACATCAGATCATTACCTCAAATTGAGCGTGAAAATACGATCAAGCCATAATGAAAAAATGTCATCAGGTTGAAATGATGTTAAAGGTAAATTATATAAAGGCAACTGGATGTTCTTATGATCTTATTTGGCTTAATGTCATCATTTTACGCTATATTGCGCCTTTAACAAAGCATGAAATAAAATATAGATTATGAAAGGCTTGATACTTGCTTAGAGGAGCTTAGTCTTTATACATGATTAAAATATCGTTCTTATGTTATGTACAAGCTCAGAAGGCTACTTATTTTGTTCCCTGCCTACTCTAAACCATGTGTGTGGGAAGTTCGGCAGTGTTCAGAAGTCCATACCTGGCAATGCCAATGAGAAACTGGGCCTCAAAAAGGGAGCATTAATGTATGTCACACATCAGGTGTCAAAGTTCCATCTCCTGATTCCTTTAAATGATGCCATTAACTTTATGTAAGCCGATAATAAGGCACTGGGATCCACCATCTAATTATTACTACCCCAGGAAGCCTAACTTCCACCAGAATAGCTCCTCATATGTCTTTATTACCTTGATGATCAGCAAGCTTCTGGTAAGGCATTACACTCACGTTGTACATGTCTGGAAACAAGCCAGAGTCATCGACATTGGCAGATCACTATCATTAGGGGCCTATGTGAGCATGAAAACGTCGCAGTGTGGAAAATTATTTCTGACATTTTCTTGACCCATACCTGTCTGCTTCTACTTACTCAAACTTTCTGAAAAAAACACTACCTTACATAACGTTACTTTGGGGCCTCGAGATGTCGCTTGGAGAATGGTCTGCTTTATAATTTTTTTCCGCAAATAGTTTAAAATTGTTCAAAATTTCCTGGGACGCCGATCACGTTCGATAGAACTGACTCTTAGGATGCCCATCAAAGGGATTTAGATGAAAGCTGGGCAGCTAGTAGGTCATATAGGACGAACGTGCGCCTTGTCGGAGCCTAAGATTACAAGCTAGCTAGACGACGGTAAGTTTTCTCTTGGATGGCGTTGAAAAGTACCAGATCTTCAAGATTAGGTTGACCTTCTTAGATCTACGTGACCAATCTGTTTTAATCAGAATTACAGAGCTAACACGAACCAGTGATTCGGGGTGACCCTAATGTATGGTGGGGTGGGAAAGGCCTGTCATTTGAGGCGAGTTCTTTTAAAAAGCATCGAGGTCACTGTTTGTAAAGAAGGTCGACGTATCCTAGAATTGTGAGGCAAATTTTGTACCAATTACTGATCAAAAGTGTCGTCGGTGGCGCAACGGTTAGAGCGTTGGACTCGGAACAAATAGGAATCGGGTTGTGCCATTGGGAAAGGTACCCTTCACTATCTTCCTTTCCCTGACAATTGAGTGACGCCCACAGAGCCTTTTCGGCTAAGCTGCAGCTGTCTAAATGTGTGCCAAAAACGGAATTGGTGCGCCAATACGCAAACATCTGCACATTTGCCACCAAGAGCCCTAAATGTTAATTTTTAGATTTTTTAATAGCTGATCTTAAACCTTGATATCTTTTTCTGCTTGCCCCTAGATGATATATTTGCAAAAGACGGAAGAGATTAGGGTTCACAATTAGTACCGGTTTTCACAAATCTGTCAGGGGCAGATATTTATGGTCAAAGGTTCCCTGTCGCTGGTAGCTTGTCAACCATTTATCCACTCTTATGTCTAAATATAAATTCCGTAACAAAGTTACTGACATAAACGGTTTACCGCATAAGGTAGTGTGGTGTATGATATAATGCTTACGTTAGAACTTACTTCACGATCCCTTAAGTATCTTAGTATTTTCTTTTAACTTAAAGTCTTTCTCCCACGCTGAAGCTATCTTCGAGTACACCTGTTTCCTGGCGTGTCGACTCACGCCCTCACCTCCAACCTACCGTATGCACAACGCATTTATCATCTACCATCCTGTGCTTTGCACCTCGAAGTAAGTGAGGCTTTACATGCTCAAGGTGTGACAGCATGATCCATCAGACGGGTTCACTTATCTATGGGCTGAGGTGTAATATAAGCAGGCGGGATACCCTGTTTGTCTGGCGAGCGACCCGGAGGTCAACTGCCAGAGCCTGCCAGCCTCGTCATTTTTTACCTAAGCTCACCAAACTAAACCCTTGTCACTCATTCAGAATCTTCTCCCTACCTCCAACCAACCATGGTTGGCTGAAATTCGGGAGTAGCCTTGACAGATGAAGGTAACGCCCACTTTTCTATACAAATAGAATCAAATTTGAGTTAATATTGAGTCAAATTTAACTCCCAACCACGCCCCACCAATGCTGAAGTACTGACTGATCAATCACCAACCATTGCCCAACCTCCCATCCACCAGAATACTTTTTTTTAACATTCGGCTGGCATAGCTGAACAGTAGCCAACCTTGCTGATCACCAGTCAACGACAGCCTCCCTTGTCCAGAAGATATTATATTCAAGCCATTCCGATTCAGTGGCACACAGACTGTCAAAAAGGAAGCATTGAGTTACGTTTTTACGACCAGAATGGATTAGAGGGACAGATAAATCGGCATGAATGTCTTCTATTTAAATGGTAAAAGTACTTTTAGTTCATGTAATACATGTAATAGTTCCTGACCAGTGGAAACAAGCAGTTGTGGTTCCAGTACCCAAAACCCAACCAGCCAGTATTGACCAACTACGTCCGATTTCTCTGACTTCTCCGTTCGCTAAGATCACGGAACACTTTGCTTTATCTTGGATCCTGCAAGACGTCAAGTTTGACAACCGACAATTTGGCAGTCTCAAAGGACGGTCTACTGTACACGCACTCGTTAGCCTGGTGGACAGCCTTTTCCAGGGAACGGACAAACCATCCACTATATGTACCCCTGTAGCCACAGATTTCACCAAGGCTTTTGATAGAGTCCACCACCACACTATTATCACTAAACTGTTAAACATGGGTTTGCGACCTGAGTTAGTTCCATGGCTGGCCAACTTTATCTCCGACCGGAAACAGCGTGTGCGCTACCGCGGATCTTTTTCTGAGTGGGAGTATCTGTCATGTGGAGTTGCACAGGGCACTCTTCTTGGTCCCGTATTATTCCTGGTACTCATAGATGACGCCGCTTCCGACACTGTGACTCCTGTGTGGAAATATGTCGACGACATGAACATGCTACAAACAAGACGACTTCAGC